AAGTTGAATGTGAAAGGTCAAAGTGGCCATAAATCGCCATCCAGGCAAGAGAGCGCAGAGAAAAGAAGAAAGTTGGCGCCATTAAAGGGATTGAGTTTTAGCTGTCCGTAGACCGTCGCGTGATGGCACTGGAGCGCGTTATTTCACTGATTGTTACCTTAGAGCTCTTCGAGAGACTGTAACTTTCTTCACTAATAACATTCTGCAATCTGATTCTATTCGACGGGCGCGATTCCTGGTCGAGGGATCTTCTACCCGATAGGTACTGAACAAGTCCTATAGAAGGCCTCACGGCTTTGCATCACAATTTGTGATGAAACTTTCCTGCGCACGCAGATTTTCAGCCGTTCATAGACCGTACCTTCGGTCCTAAAGACGGAACAGCAGCCAGTACTGGAATGAAGGAGACTTCCCTTCACTAATCACTGCAGAATAGTTTATAGAAGTACACTACTTGAGAAACTCCGCCGTTGAGGTTTTCTCTCGGCGGCGAGGAAATCATCGTCTGCGCGCCAGTTTTCGCCCTTCAGAAGGACGTAAGATTGCTTACACAACTTCTGAAGAGGTGGTAAAAATTGTTAGAAACCGAGAGATCCGCGCATCTTAATCCCATTCAACTCTGTCGCAGATTTTAATTTGTTTTGGGAAGTGTGTAGTATAAGAGCGAATCCCAACAAGTGAAAATTCCCCGCGGTAACACCCGTTACAAATAGTTATCTGCTAGAGGGTAGGGGTGGTGTAGTGGCAAGTCCCACGCTTACCATGCTCGCAGTCCGCGAGTAAAATGCGCACCGGCTTCCACCCAGGCCTACCGAAGCCTTCTACTTTCCTAAGGACGGTGAATTGGTACCAGATTCGTCTGGGAGGATAAAACACTGACTTGTACATCGGCTGGCCACCGCAAGTCATTGTATAGGCCACATCGCATTCAATTCCACTAAGATTCTGAATGAAGTAGAATGCGCATCCCACCAAGGGACTGATCAACGGTGAAGACCTCATTCTTGATCCCTTCTATACGCTCGAGGTACCTTCCCATTCATTATTGCCGAAGAAGTAAGCTGAGGCCGATGAGAAACAAATCAACCCCAGATGCTCATCTAACCTTACTGGGGTCGCGCCCATGGGGATATTGGGGATATCCACGATGGCGTGCTGTAGACGTAATGCACCAAATCTCCGCAGCAAAGGTTATTCTAAGCAACCGGGTCCCGTATCCACTTAATTTTTCTATGTGGGATTTTATTCAATATAAACCAAAGACAAGAGAAACGAAAAATGAAGGGGTTACCCAAGTTCAGCGCGGCTGCTTACTTGAATTGGAAAGCTGGGAGGGAACCTGTAGGCCGCCACCGCGCATGAAGATTGTGTTGTAGCTAGAGCTAATACCTTGCTATTCGATTTGTTTCAGTGAATTCTGAGTGGGGGTGAGACTCGGGAAACATACGATTTCTGTACTTTGTCAGCCACCCTGAAAAAAATCATTCCCATTTCATGCGTACGAAAATGTGGGAAAACGTGAGTAGGTAGGTACTGGGGAAGGGGGGAAGGAAGTGTCGTACCGAGTCTCTCCCTCAGGTGAGCGGGGATCGAACTTGCATTAAAGAAGAGCCGCACACCAGGAGTCCTTAGTGTGCGCATACCAAAAAGATGAAAGGCTCTCTGATACGTTATCGAAGAAAATTCACCAGTGGGAAAAGCTCAGAACTCAAGTCACTAATGTCATATTTTCTGTTGCAGAAATACAAAAAAGAAATCATGAGACAACCGTTTTATTTTCCGAATATCTAAAAAAGTACTGTAATGAGTTACAGTCGGATACGGTGTTCTTGAATCGCTTAGTGCTTCTTGATAACGCGACGACGAGACACGAACGCAGCTGAGCGAGGTGGGCATGGGCAGTAGGCGGCATCGCCCCTGGGAGGAGCTGTGCCTCCTGGGTTTCCTGGACGACCGTCGTTTCCAGGCTGTCCTGGTGCTCCTGGCTGTCCTGGTGGTCCGGGTGGTCCATCGTTTCCGTTACCTCCTGCTGTCCGGGTCGTCCTGCATTTCCGGGAGCTCCAGGTGGTCCAGCAGGTCCAGGTCCTCCGGGAGTGTTGGTAGAGGTGGTGCCGCTCTGTCCGGGCTGTCCAGGTTGTCCATCGCCTCCTGGGTTTCCTGGTGCTCCAGCATCTCCTGGAGGTCCTGGCTGTCCTGGCTGTCCATCTGAACCAGGCTGTCCAGGGCCACCTGGGTTTCCGTT